ACAGGTTGTCACAGACACCAGAGACCGATCCATAAATATCCTCAGAGTTCAGTGCTTGGGGGTGTGTTATTAAATGGCAAACTAGTCTGCTGTTCAAGACGATGGATGGGTCAACACAAGACTTTCACCATTTGGGATAAAAGTCAGATGTTGAATGAACTCAACTTTGAATCATTGTTGGTAGGTTGTAAATGCCCATGCTTATCAATTATGTAACGACCACTATTAACGACCTCTGATGATAGCTTTTCTGGTGCTCTTGGAGAACCTCGCTGATGCAACAGCAACAGTCATACTTTTTCTTTGTTGTCTTTGTAAAGTGTTCATAGATTTTCGTTGGGAATCAACACAAAGCCCCCACTCTCGAACCTGATCCCTACACTAGACAAGTTTGACTCATCTCCCCCCGGCCTGCCTGTTCTGATTTTTGCCTGTTTTTGACCTTTGGTAACCTTAAACTCTTTATTTCACCCACCAGTCTCAAATTTGGTATTTTAACTTGGATTTATTATCTCAAAGACATTTGGATAAAGTGTTCTAGTCAGACTATCAAGCAGGCTCACCGTCATTCTCAACATTTAAATAGTTGACCCGCTGTGCCTCCCTGGCCAACAGTCTAGAAACTTCAGAGCTCTGAAAGGCTTACTGGCTACTTAACTGGACTATTGCAGCAAAGTTGCATCAGGGAGCAACCCTTTGATGCCTTAACTGTTGTATTATTTAACCACACGAGAGTATAAGAGGTCAAATATTGACAGCGGTGGATTCAGAGAAATAAAAACTTTTCCGATGTAATTCAATGCTTTGATATTCCAGTCTTTGCCCACTAGGGGGCAGGATAAATCCTATAAAGCTGATAAATTAACCATCAAGTGGAAACTTCTGCATTTGTTTCATTTTTCAACACCAGGCGTTGCTGCTTGGGCGATGACAGGCAAGTAAGAGTTCATTAACTACCCATCTGAAGAATGATGGTGATTCTACCAGTGAGCGAATCTTAGTTTGCTCTTTCCTTTAGTAGTTATTACAATCCAACCAAGTGCAGATTTTAGAGATCAAATGTGAAAATTTGTACCGGCTCCTCCTGCCTATATGTGGAACTGAAAAAAAACTGGAGTTTGTTAATCAGAGTCCTCTATCAGTCTGTGACATTAACAAATAACACACACTCCCTTCAGAGCCAAATGAATCGATTGAGCACACACCAAGGAGAGTGACTATTAGCCAGTGTGTGTGTGTGTGTGTGTGTGTGTGTGTGTGTGTGTTTCCTTCAACCTTTGAAGTCATTTGAGTGTCAAACCGTGACACTGAGTAGATCTTTGATAGTGATGACATTTTGAGAAGTCCTTGTATTTTACAGATAAGGAGAAAGTTAATGCATTACACCAGGGCCCCCACAAGTACAGAGGCACAAATAGAGTGTGTATGTGTGTGTGTGTGTGTGGTGTGTGTGTGTGTGTATGTTTCTGTTTATTCTGACGGCTTGATTGTCATTTCTAAACAAACCCAGCTGATTGTGCTGTCTGAATACATGATTAGGATGTTTGTTTATCTACTGGAGTCTATTAGATAAAGAAGAAAAAATTAATAACTCTGTCTGCACAATAAATCCTTATTTTATTGATAACGCAATGAGCTTTCACAATAATCACGTCTCAAAGATCTGAATTTATCACAATAAATATGAAAATGTATTCAAACAAGCACTGCTTACTCACTCAGCACGAGCCATTTATGTGCACTGAGCACTTTAGAAGCCTAAAGTTTGACATTTTAGCCGTCGCCATCTTTGGGTTTTTGAGAACCAAAAGTGACCATATTTGGTCAAGAGATTGGAGCTGGAGAGAGGCCAAATGTTTCACATGTTTAGTTTTGAATTCAACAGTATGACAGTCCCGTGCTAGCTCATTAGCTGGCTCTGAAAATGCTAAACAGTTTTTATTACACTAAAAGAAGCTCGGACTGCTTGTAAAAAGCACTGGCTCCTCTCATCACGGCCACCCACCATCTTCTCCTGGGGAAAAAGACAACAACAATCGTGACTACCGATCGCCGACCACCATACATAAATCCTATAATCTTGATTATCTTGTTTTCATTATCGTGGGACGCTGAAATTGAAACTTCATTAATTGCCCAACCCCTAAAAATGAGTATGCTATTTTAGTTTGGTTAATTTAATTTGACTTCTTGACAATAAAGAAAAACACTACATAACAGTTGTATGTCTGAAATGGTCAATATGTCAGTTTAAAGTGTTAATGATTCATATTCTTAGGGGAATTAAATATATTTAAATGGTAAATGGATTTGAGATTTCTAGTCTTCTGACTACTCAAAGCAGTTTTTGCACAGAAGGTCACACCTACCACATTCACACACTGATGTCAAGTGTCCAGTCCATTAGTTATAACTTATCCTATTCAGACACATTCATAAGCAGGAGATGCAGCGGTGGGACCAATTTGGTTTCAGTGTCTTGCCCAAGCACACTTGGGGATCAAGCCCCCGAGCTGCCAGAATTTGACTGAATTTTGAATTTGACAGTGCATGTTTTCTCACCTCTTGGATGCTGGTGTGAACAGACAACATCATCAATCGGACACATTAGACAATATTTACCAAAACACAAAAAGGAACATCTTGTTTTCATGTATAATGTTCAACCCAACACAAACCTTTTATAACAAGTTGAACAATTTTTAACAGAGAAGAAGACAAACTGCACGACATTATGAGTCACATTGTAAATGTTGCTCGGCTGAACCTTCATCTGATCAGCTCTGTATCCGACTGTAAAGTCTCCCGGGGCTCAGTATGAAATGTCACTTAAATATCACGAGCATCAGTTCCCACTGACCGTAATACTCCCCCTGAGCCCTGCCTCTCGTATGAGCGGTGATGAAGTGCAGCAAACTGAGCGAGCAACAGCTGGCATACAGATATTAAAGTGATCAGTTTCCACCCTGAAAAACACACACTGCTGCGCTGAGATATCAGACACCCACACAGCCTCAGAGTTGATGGATTTCATGGGGAGTTATTTTGATAAAAACAGACAGGGTTCAACTCAAGGGCACACAGGTAAACCCCAACTGAATGGGAAGGTGAACTTAAACTCAGTTAAACTAATTGTATTTGTGTTATATAATTTATAATCTTTTCATTACATTCAATCTCGAAGGTTTCTGTGTATCAAGTTAGGTGAGCTTTTACTGACATCTTGTGGCGGATTATTATTAATACACCCTCCTGCATCAACCCAAACTGGCATCATGAAACTTGGACCAGATGCATTCTTGACTTTTATGTTTATTTTTCGAGTGTTTCAAGCTTCAAGATGTAAGGAATTACATGTTTTGCCAAAGTTCAAACTGCAAATCCACAAACTAGGTCCTGTCTGAGATACCTCAAATACATCCTTTGATATTTTGAGTTTTTAGGAAAGCACTATATAAAATCAATGTATTATTATTAATATTATTATTATATAATCCAATACTCTCTCAGATATGTAAATTTCTATAACTCTTGGGTGTATTTATCTTGTATTTTAGTCACTCATTATGTTCCCTGCAGGAAGAAGGGTGTTAACTTTATAGTGTCTGAATTTTTTATGTGCAATAGCACCACCTTGAGGTCAAATTACCATATTTTAATACCTGCAAATCTAACAACATTCCCATCAGCCCCAGCAGTCCTCTGAGCAGCAGTCTTATATTGAAAAGGTAAGGTCTATCTTTCAATTCAAGTACCAAAGAAAAAGGGGGGTAGGTGTTTTCAATGCATTTAGAATAGTACAAAACTGGACAAGAGCGACTTCAAACAACCACAATTCAAATCACAGCAAACACAACTAACAAAATACTTCAGCTGTGAACTAAAAAAACCAGAAGCACTTTCTATAATTGGATATGGTTGCTAAGGAAACGGTCTCCTGCTAGAAGCTTCCAGCAATATCCACTCTTCCTTCCTCGTTACATGTCATTATAGATTTGATACATGGTCCATAAAGTGTTTTAGTAACAGTTAAGTTATTGTGTTTCGATACTTGATGTAACTCTGGAAACGGTTTTAGTGCCGGTGTTACGATTTAACGAGTGACCCAGTCAACTGGCGCCTTTCCGCCGAATATGTCTGTGGTTGTCATAGTTACAACATATATTGAAAACGGAAGTGACTGAAGGCCTCTTCGTATAGTTTTTCCATTTTATACACATCTGATAAGTATTTATTTTAGCATTGTAATGACAAAAACTAAAAAAAGAGAAATTCGTGAGGACTCTTAATTTCCAACATCTGTTGTAACTATGACAACCTCATACGCACGCGGCGAAAAGGCGCCAGTTAACACGGTCGCTTGTTACACCAATACACCGGAGTAACTGCTCCAATAACATAAATTAAAAATATATTTATCAGGTTTTTTATTCAACATACTTTTTCTTAGATTTTGTGATAATATACAATGTTTGTACACGTTTTTTTACTCACAAGTATTAATGCGATAAAATAATAATAGCTTACTTTTTTTTATTGTGTTGCTTTGCAAGCCAGTTACATCATTTTCTTTTTCCAGAACATAAAACAATATTCTCCTTTAGCTGTTAATAACCTCAGTATATTCCTAAACTGTTTTATTTTTATGACTAAGTATAGTGCTACCTCTGTTAAAACGTACATCAATACATTCCACAACATTAACTCTTTTCTTCAAAGGTGAAATGATTTTTTTTTTTAATTGTAACCACTAATTAGTCATGGTTGAAGTCAGAGATTGATTCAACATAGAGGATCACTTAAAAGCTACTTAAGGATACCTCTGCTTCTGTGTGCTCATTGTGCTTTGAAAACTTTACCCAAATTAGCTAAAGTCAACATCCAGCCGGTCTCTTCTTATCCTATTATGGTTGGGCCTTCTCCACTGGATATTTGGAATTTGAATATCCACACAGGCTTCACTTCACCTTATGTAAGGCTGTTTGAAGTGAACTGCTGTGTTACGGGCAGCTGTAGCTCACAACATGAATTGAATCCTTCATAAATATGGAATAAGAGCGCTGCTTCATTCTTGTGATGTCGTTTTAAGGAAATGTTAAAAACTTAATAAAAAAAATACATTAAGTCAAGTGTAAATGAGTCAAATATAAACATCTGAAGCTGTTTGCTGCATTCTGACTCAAACCTTTCACATATAGCCTAGAGAAAGAGCTGCATGTTGGCTATTATTTTCATTACTTGACTTTTTTATCATGACATATCATCTCCTCTATAAACATCAATCAATGCATATTTTTTAGGGGTCTCTATTGCAGCTGTTGCACCAACTCCATGTCCATTTCAGAGTCTGAGGAGTTTTCAAACTTGGTCTGCTTCTCTTGGCCCAACTTGACCTTCGGTTTAAAGTCCGCAGAGATCATCTCCTTCTGGATCCTCTGCTCCCTGAGCCTCCTCAGCAGCGCCAGGATCTCCTTCCTCTGGTCCGCCATGGCTTCATACCGCCGTCTCTCCTCCTGTCTCTGCCGGAGAGCGTGGACGCTCAGCTGCGGCTGCTGGACCTGGACCGACTGTTTGGGACCGGCGGTGCTGCTCACTCCTCTTGGCCGGGACACGGGCAGCCTCTGGCGGATGTCTGCGGACATGAGGCGGGACTCCAGCGGCGGCAGGAGCGACTGCGAGCTCCAGAAACTCCTGGCGTGGGACACGTCCTCCGGAGAAGAGCCCTCAAACACGGTGAAGAATTTATCAATCTCCTCCTGGTCACACATTTTAAAACTTTAAAACGTGAAATTAGCTCAATGTTAAATCAGCTGGAGTGAAGAGTGAGTGTTTGGTATGGTCGCCATGGAAACGAGACTGCTACGGCAAGACGGCGAGATCAAGAACCCTTCCGCGTAAACATTTTATTAACGCTACCTTGCATGCGAGTTATTGACAGTAAAGGTTAACAGGGATGAAGGTATTCCAGGTAGCACCAATTCACTAAAAAAGTTATTTTATGACACTTAATACAGAAGTCAGGTAGGCCTATAGCTCTGAAGAATGCAATGAAATCAATAAAGTGAAGTAACCAGTTGTGGTGGGTGATCTATTTTAAGTCAATCATAACAGTGTGGCATTAACTACAAAAAAAATACCCCAAAATATTTACTTTTTTTTACCAGATGATGAAAAAAACTTGGGTTATACATCTGAAATGTTGTGTAGTTATCCTACAGTGAAAATTATACTCAAGCAAAGTACAATTAACTACTTAAAATTGGCTTGTCGGCCACGCTGTCTGAATTGTAAAACAGCAAAATGTAAATTCACATTTTTAAACAGTAAACCTCACCCTCACACTCCTGCACGCAGCCTCCGTTCTCCAAAAGCCAACCTCCTATCTCCCCCTCTTAGAACCAAGCACCGAACCTGTGGGGGGACCAGAGCCTTCTCCATAGCTGCCCCCCCTCCCTCTGGAACTCCCAACACACATTCAACGCTGCACCGACCCTCCTACTTTCAAATCACTTCTCAGAACTCACCTCTTCAAACAAGCTTTTAATGTATGATTGTGATGTATTTTCTGTTTTCTGTTGTTTTACCTTTATTGTTGTTATCTTTATGGTTTGTGTGTAATGTTGCAACGTCTGTTAGTCTGTCTTTACTGTTCTGTTCTTTCTGTTTTTAACTATTGTAAAGTGTCTTTGAGTTTTTTAAAAGCACTTATAAATAAAATATATTATTATTATTATTATTAAACCATTTATCAACCGTGTTCAATTCAAGGCTTTAATCTGAATGAAGAGCAATTAAACCTTCTTCTTCTCTCTCTGTGTGTGATAGGCTAAAACAAAGTTGCCCATATGGCTGCTGCCAACTTTGGAAAATGGGCGGTTCTGCACGAGCCGTTCCACCCCCAGGTGTCGCAAGGAGGTATAAAAAAGCGTGGAGAGGAGGAAGGACCTCAACCTTATCATCCTCATCACTTCATTCACCTGACATGACAGTCTCACATCCCTGGAGTTGAGCCTCCATCCTGCACTGAGGGCTGACGTGCTGCACAGTGAGTACAAAGACTTCTAAATGATCTTTTACCTCAAACAAAACTAAAGGGTTTGTTCAGATGGCAGGTAGAAGATTTTATCAGTTTAATACAAGGATATCTGCAGAAATTACTTATTTAATTAGACGGAAAGGGTGTTCATATCACAAGAACATGCAAAATAACTCTATGGAAGAACTTTTAAGAAGCTTGTTGATAACTAAAAGTCATTCTTCATTCACTTTTTTGACTGAAATTCAAAAAACTGTTTACTGTCAAAGACCTTTAAATGAAAATGAGTTTATTATTTTTTATTTAAGCCCAATTAAAAAACTATTTTTGCTGAATGGAAGTGATGGAGGAAGGCCAAAAAAGCTGCTTTAACTATTATTTTTGGGATTTTGACTGACCTGAAGAATTCCCACTTCTCTGTAAATATGTCAGAAATCCTCATTAGAGCTGCAGGATTTTTAACTCCTGCTTGCATACCTGTTCTGTTTTGCCTGTGTGCCGAGGGCTACACATGGATGCGCCTGGTGACATGTCACAATTTTGGTGTAAACGGTAAGCTTGGCTGGACACATGAGCTGAACCTTATAAGGAAGTATGCCTGCTAAGTCCCTAGCATCCCTCTTTGGGATACCAAGCTTACCAGGAGCAAAAGGGTTAGCCAAACATGGGCATTCCAGCGTGGCAACTCACTTGTTTGATTATAGGGGTTATCTGTGTGCTGCTTTTCATGTTTTATTGCGTGCTGCTCAATGGGAGGTCAAAGCAGCCTTGTGACCCGCACGAAGAGGCAGAGCCAAGGATAAGTGAGTAAGTAGCTCGTTGCAAAGTGTGCAGAGGCCGTTATCAGCAGTAATCTGTCAGGCAGTTCACTAAAAACCAAAATGTAAATGATGTCTGTGACGCCTGGATGCAAAGATAGAGCCTGAGTCATAGAAGGAGGAAGACAGAGGTACAAAAGATGAGCTAACATGCTGTGTTGTGTTCTCTCTCTGTGTTGAGCTGTGTGCCTGTTTAAATATCTGCAGTGATGTAACACACAGTATGTCTGATATTTTTGATCTCTTCCACTTCATGAAAGGTAAAAAATTGTTCTTTACTGCTCGTCAAAAATGTGTTTCAAGTTAAACGTCAAGTTTATTTGTCAAGTGCACAATTATTGCAATCCCGCAGTCATTGCTTCAGAATCCACTTTCTCAAGCTCCATCTGACGGTAATAAAGAAAATCCTTAGAGAGAAAAAAGGTGAAAAACAGGAATCAAAGTATGAGATGTAAACAGGGGCAGACGTTAGAATATGAGACAAGATAAATAAAAAGGCAGTAGTGATGACAGGATTTAAAGGTTTTAAAGCAGAAATGTTAATTAATGACTAGAACTGGTAGTTGGAAAGGTGATAGCAAGATGTAAACAAGTAATTCACATAGTGTGTAGTGGTGACTTTGTCCACAAAAAAATAAACTCAAAATTAAACCAGCAGCGCAGCACAGGGACAATCGACTGTAGACAGGATCCAATCAAAAGTCATATGCAGGAAAAAATACAATTTCTCTTGTGTTTATTTTGGCTTTCAATTAATGATTATTTCTCGCGGTGTGTCTTGAGTTCCTGGTTAAAAAAAAAATACATTCACCTTCCCAGATGTTGGCTATCCTGTCTATTGGCCCGTCTTTACAGTATATACATCACCCGGTGTAATCAGAATCAGAAATACTTCATTAATCCCAGGGGGAAATTTGTTTGCTACAGTTGCTCATAACATCAAAAATCAGTAGGAAGTACAGATAAGTTCACAAAATAAAAATAGTAATAACAATATAATAAGCATAAGTACCAAGTGAAAGCAATAATAAAGTAGTATAAGTAATAAGCTATGTTCAAGTGCAGGTAATTGAAAATATAAACAATATTAACAAATATGAATATACACTGATGGATTAACAGCGTAGATATTGCACGGTTCATGTATAGATAGCACTTTTGATGTATAAATATTGTCCAGTTTTCAACAGATTGCACAGTTTTAGTAGAGAATCGACTTTTTCTTTCAAAATAAAAGCATTAATAATGACGCAAAATAAAAGCATTAATAATGACTCAAATGTCTTCATAATAACATAAACTGTATTAAACGTAGTCCTATATGTTCCTCAAGCAGGTTAACATCAAATAAATCAATTATTTAATGTATAAGAAGATGTACTTTATTCATCCTCTGAGTGGAAATTCAATTTCACACTTTGTTGTTGAACCTGATACACACACACACACACACACACACACACACACACACACACACACACACACACACACACACACACACACTTATGCACAACAGAATCCTGTTGACATGGAATAATGGAGCGATGTCAGAGGGAGGGGGGCGGCCCACAGTGAGCGCTCCTGGGCTGGAGGGGTGGGCTCACTGCTCTGCTCAGGGGCATCTAGGCAATGCTCAGGAAGTGAACTGGCACCTCTCCAGCATACAAGATACAGTTTGCGGAAAATCTGCATCGGCAAGCGTGTTGTTCAATGCAGCAATGCCAATTTGATGATTTGGATAAATATAAGAAATTGAAGAGTGAATATTATTTTACTATTTACAGGCTGATTAATGTGGGGCACAAAGTTCTGAACATGGGTTTCAATTAACACAATGTGTTGTAGTTCAGCGTTTGATTTTGTTGAATGTATGTCCCGTAGGTCAGAGGTCAACCCGACTCCCATCGACCCTCCAGAGGCCGACCCGGTCACCGCTGACGATCAGGACCAAAGCTCGACTTCCTCGGAGCTACCAGAGGACGACTCGGACGCGGACGGCGGACCTCAGATCGACTCCAGCGCCGACGGTGATATTCCGAACATGGCCGAAGAAGACAACAAATACCTCTTCCTGGAAAATGACTTCCGCAACAGCGGGGTGGCGCAGGCCGATTTTGCGGCCAAGAAGATGGTGTGGATCCCGTCAGAGAGGGAGGGCTTCGAGGCGGCCAGCATGAAGGAGGAGAAGGGTGATGAGGTAACGCACACCCGTGATGATGTCACTGTGAACAGATGATGCTGCAGTATCTTTGCTGTCTCTGCATGCTGCTTACGTCCCATGACTTTAAATATTTAATCCTGCCACTGACAAAGAGAAGCTTAACTGTCTTTAGTTGTTTTTTATAGCAGTGACAATAAATATTCTGTTCCATTTTTATGCTTTAATGAAGCTGGATGCAAAGTTGTTTTGTACCAGCCTGTAAACATGTTTATTTCTGCTTAAACAAATGCTCATTTTAACATGGGATCTGATGGGGCTTCCTGGGCGTTTGCAGCCAGCCCCCTAGTGGACACTTGAGGGAACTGCAGTTATTGCACTTACCGCATTGGCTTAATTTTTTTCAACCTGCAGGTGCTGGTGGAGCTAAGTAACGGTCAAAAAACGACTGTGGCCAAAGACGACGTCCAGAAGATGAACCCGCCTAAATTCAGCAAGGTGGAGGACATGGCTGCTCTCACCTTCCTCAACGAAGCGTCCGTCCTGCACAACCTGAAGGAGAGATACTTCTCCAGCCTGATCTATGTGAGTGACACACACACACACACCTATACACACATACACACACATTTGTGGGCCCAAGGGTGAGAAAGTCAAGTGCTATGCCTACATTAAAGTCTTAATAAACTAACCTTCATTGTGTTGAAATTGTGTGAGGAACCTAATAATATCATTTTAGAAAACGGGTCTCAACTTGGACGTTGAGTGAAACGACGATTTCAACTAACTAAACATTGATTTAAGAATGTAAACCGGGATAAAAGCAGGAGCAGCGTATGTCCTATAAAGGTCAGCAGGTAAGACCCGGCTTCTTACAACCCCTTATGAAGTTCAGGTGGAAGAGTCCTTGTTGAAGGACTTTGTGCCGACCCTTTGGGCTCTACTTTGACTCAGGTTGAGATGAAAGGATCAACAGCTTATGTTTTTTATTTTTTCAGTCACTCTTACAAAGTCTAATAAGGTACGAGATGTAAAATTAAAACCCCCGGCTGGTGCATCTAATACTGAGTGCCATGAGGATCACAGGAGGTTAAGACCTTCAGTCCCTCCGGTCCATATATGAGCAGACGTGTCTAAGAAGAAGAAAAATCACAAGCGCTCACAATGAGCTGCGACCTTCTGGT